AAATTATAAAAAAAAAAAAAAAAAAAAAAAAAAGATTGACCTGCAGTTTCACGAGGCACTTTGCAAGTTCAACAAGAACAATTGACTAATCCTCTTACGTCCGGAAGCGGAAGTGGACGTTGTAATCTCCAAGGTGGAGTGTCGCTCGTAGAAAGTTTCTCTTGTTTGTTTCGCCCGAGTTAAAGTGTAGCGAACGCAATATTGGCAAACCTGGCTTCAAGTGTTTCCTTCTCGAAGAGAAATCTCATACCTTTTTTCATCTTCTTGATCTCCTGCTCCTGCTGATCCACCGCTGCGCCAAGGAGGGTGAAGATGATACCGGCTTGAGAGTTTACGCCCACGGCAGTCACCAACATTTTGCCGGAGCCCTCCATCACGTGGGTACCTGACAGAATGAAAAACAAAAACAATGACAACTCCAGCTATTCGCAAATCTTCGTCGCTGCTTGTTCCCTCGTTACGGCACAAGAGACGTGCAATTATTACAAGCGAGAGTCAGAGTAAGATTATTTGGTAAGACTCACCGGAAAGCACCATCGGATCGAAAGCTTCGCCTTTCTTAACGTGATCCGATTCTCCAGTCAAGCTGGACTCGTCCACTTTGAGATCGTTGCTTTGTATAAGGATACCGTCAGCGGGCAGCAGGTCACCGTATTTGATCTGAACGTATGAAAATAAAAAAAAAGCACAATAAAGATCGGCTGCTAATGGCTGGATCACGTGGTCCAGGATACTTTGGATCGTCAGAAGTTTCCACGAGGTACCAAGTGTTCCGAAAGCCATTAAAACTTGGTCAAATGTTGTTGCACGGGAATCATTGTATTTGGTACTCTTGCGTTAGGTGCGCAGAGTCGCCACCACTTACCTCCCATCGGCGTCACGTTCGACCATTTGCCGACGACGTGGAAACGTTTGATAAGGCTGAAGATATAAAAATTCATACCTGACAAATATCGCCGACAACAATGTCGGACACCGATATCTGTTTGACCTCTCCCTGCCGGATAACGCAGAACTTGTGCTCTCCTTCTATCCGGCTCTGAAGACCCCTGAACTGCCTCTCCTTCGAGTAATCGTTGAACGCCGTGACGAGCACCACGACGATTACGGAAATCAAAATGGCGAGACCCTCTATCCACCCGTACTTCGACTCGTCCTCGTCTACCAATGCTGAAATAGTTTAGGAAACAGTTAAAAATTGGCATTCGTAATTTTCATGGAAATATTCGAAGACGAGCGACAGCCGCTCTCCTCCATATCGCACTTGCTAGGAATACATGGCATTTCAAGTATCAGGGACACGGGATAACCTTTCGAAAGTCCTCTTATCAGTGAGAGCCGCACGATAAGGGACGATCGTCCGTGAGGAGATTGGAAAATTCTTGTGCGACGAAATCAGAGACAAAACTTACAGAGAGGCATTCCCACAAGTGAGATATCCAAACGACAATACATCGATGCACAATTGAATTTTTCGTCTCACAATTTTTCTTCACTCTATCGACATTTCTCATCGTTACCATAATTAACAGAAAAAAAAGTTGTATAAACACTAATTGAGTAATTTCTCTTTTTCGAAAAAAAAAAAAAAAAAAAAAAGAAAAAAATTTTTCGAAAATTTCGCCCTGATGCCTAAACGAGGAAAAAGTGACAGAAATTAAATGAGCTTTAGTACAACGATCGGTTTTCGAAAAGTTTTTTGTCACTCCCAAAAATATATATGAAATTCCGTCAAGAGGTCCATACAGCTTCGCGTAACCAGTGAATGCGTGGACGAGGACACACAGCCTCCCGAGAAAGGAAGAGGCTGATCAAGAACAAGATAATACAAAATATATATAGAATCCTCAAGCAAATGTATCTGTCACTTTCGATATTGAATTTGCATCTTTTTCTCCTTTTCATTTAATCTCTCGTCTCTCCCATCCAAAGTAATTACACGTCGCGCACGCATCAGGTCTCGGAATACGTATATCCTGAATACAAAACACACAGCAAGACCATCCATCCGTGCAGTACAAACCAGCACATAAGTAATAGGGATTGAGAAGTGTCGACACAGCTGAACAACAAGAATTTATGTAAAGCAGCAAAATACTATATGTTTCGTCATAAGGAATTTTTCCATATTCATACATATTTATATCCGGACCTTACGTATGCACGTGGCGCACATGCACAACAGGATGCATTCGAGGTGCACAGAGTAGAGAAGAGATCCTTGGAGGATATATTCAAGCAGATGCGAGTTCACTTTTTTTTTTTTTCTAATTCCTCCAACACTTTCCTCAAAACCGTTTTTGGCACGTCATTAAAGATGCTGAGTTTAGGGATGAAATTGGGCACCACGTGGTAATAAGGAGAATGACAAGGATGCATTGGTGTTCAGGTTTGACACTGGATTCCTGAACAACTAATAAAAAACAATATTTTTTTTTTTTCAGTCGTGCCGTACACTGATTACACGTGATACACGAACAATCGTTTTATAACAATAATGATTGACTATATAAGTTCTTCAACTGAATTCTTGTCGCTGTCACTGACATTGCCGGAGGATGTGCAATTTGACATTTATTGCTTGTTTCCACGTAACAGTCATGAAATTCGTAATAGTGGTTCGAGTAGTCGTGAGGAAGAGGAAAGCTTTACGAATTCCACAGAGGCCATGCTTGCATCCAATTACACGAACACGTATCTAAAGAGTCAGGATATGTACAGTAAAACCAAATAAGCGATAAACGTCGAATAAAACTTGAATGTCGATAAAGTGTGAATGAGTGTAAAAAAAAAAGAAGAAGAAAACAAATAAACCAAGTGAAAAAACGTGTGCTCTCGAAAGTTCGGAAACAATCGTGAAAAGCAAGGGAGAGAAGGAGCGTTGTACCTCGTGTAGAACATTCCTCGAATCTTCATCGTGATCAGTGTTTCCCAAATTATGATAAAAGGAAAAACATGATACGCTATATATAGTAGCTATTAAGATCACTATTTTTGAAAGAAAAAAAACTGTAGATTAACATTCCATATACGAACTTCCGTTCTTCCAGTCACAATTTTTCGAATGATAACAGCACCAACGTGAAAATAGACACCCTGCTGTCGCATTCCAATAAAATATGATTTATGATAACAATCGTCTGGGAATCACTGTCGTCACGAGGCTAAATGAAAAAAAAAAAAAAAAACAATTAACAATAATAATAATTTACCTACACACGTACGTCGACACGACACAGATAGAGATAACAGAGCGACATATACGACAACTAATATGTCCATACGTAAGAAGGGACTTGCCGAATCTGAGCGCAGAATACGATAGAAATGAAACCAGACGATAAACAGTGAAAAAAAAAAGAAAAAAAAAAAGGAACAGATTGACAGAACGCAAAGTGAACGAGAGAAAGATAGAAAAGAAAAATAACGTTTAACGTTCTACCGACTCCATAGAATTTGCTACCACGCACACGTTAGCCAAATTGTTCTAGTGAATAAAGGAAGAAAAAAGAAAAACCAACTATTCGTTCGTCACTTAACTATTTTTCGCCTGCGAACCGTCGTTGGAGTAATAGACGGTAGAAGCATCGTTCCTGGTTTCGGCTACGAGTGCGAATAAAAAAGAAATTCTCTTGAGAGACACACACCTGGCACAACTAGACATTCTCATGGATACCTTTAATCTAGTTAGGTTGAGTTACTTCTATTTGTTTTATTCCAAATATCTTATGGCCATTACTCTTTTACTACGGCGCTATTTGCGTTGTATTCGTTTGACTAGGGGGAGGTACGACGCGACATTGTCACTGCACAGATTCCATTTAGGAGATCCAACCTGCAAAGCTTGGCGCACGACGAAGGATATGCAGATAGAGTTAATGTAAAGGGGGTTTCAGAGGATATACGCCACGCGTATATCTTTGTTGTTGTTGTTGTTGGAAATGTAGAGACAACGGAAGCAGAACCTAGAGCATGATGAGAGAGGGGCGGGGGGTACACCAAAAGATCGAACTGGACTCGCTACGTACGTTCTTCCTCGTCCGCCGGCTGATAGAAGCTCAGACCTAGCGAGACCAGGGCAGCTATCTCCAAGATAATTAACGTAACGTCCTGCAGCGCTTCCCATACTAATTGTAGAAAGGTTTTTGGTGGTTTCGGAGGTATCATGTTGGAACCGAATGTGTCTCGCCTGTGCTGCATGTCAGCCGCTGAGCCACTGAGACCTGTTGGAAGTAAAGGAGGTTTTATTATTACTTTTTTTATTTTCAAGCACACAAGGCCCAGTACCTACAGGACCAATTTTTTCTTTGGCAATTATTTAATAATTATCTGATAAGTGCTTTACCTTCACTCGGCGAGGTATACAATTTTTTACAGATCTCCTGCGCACCGCCATGGCTATTGATTTTGTTGATACCCTCGCGGCCTCGGTGCTCCATGAGCTCCCGAAGCTGCTTGAGGGTGATTCCATATTGGGCCGGCCGGCCGTCTATCGTCGCCATTTTCTCTCAATCTCTTACGTTGGCTTGTGCCAACTTCTTTTCTCCAAGACCCCCAAAATTATCCACTCCTGCGGCTTCCCTCGTTGGCACTGTTCCCTCGGCCTCCAACCAGTCGCGGAGCTCCAATAGCTGCAACAGCAAGAAACATCCATTGAGATACATCGATTTTTAAAGATAACAGACAACAGTCGTACAATGCTAATTTGCACGTACACGAGATACGGGAGAATCGCGTATCTTGTCCAAGAGAAAAAAGAAAGAAAATAAGAGCCTCAGATAGCCAGATAAAATGATCCGCAGTTATCTTAATTAATTGTCATTGTGCATTTATTGGATCATTGTCCACAGGAATCTGACTAACAAGATGCGTACACATGGCGCGGCCGTGTAGGTGAACGTGGGGTTCACGAACGCAGCTTCAGTTTCCATTTAACGTACACGGCGATGAGTGTGGTACCGACTTGAATATGCAATTATGCACATGCGGCGGTGTGATAGCGGTAGCGGATCAATAAGGGTTACGAGCCTAATAGCCAAGAGGACAGCGCTAGTCGCAAATTAACGCTTAATAAAGTGGAGCCGACATTAATCGAGCCGTCCAGTTGGATTTCTAAATTTCAATTGGCATTGCAAATTGGTCCAAGAACATTTAAGGGATACCCTCTGTGTCGTCACCGATAACAACGATAACGAAACAATTTCCAAGCTGATCATCAATTCCCTAAACGTACAAATTTACTGATGCGTGTGTACGCGTAATATAACGTAGGAGTCATCAACAGGTTTCTCAAGTTTATTCATACGTATTAAGAGATGATGCCGACATACCACCCAAGTTCACGTGTCAATCGCCCTGAGGGGTTTACAGCCACGCGGGGACGGGTGTGTCTGCTGCTAGTTGCCGATGATAAAATTTATATAGGAAAGTATAAATCAACCCAGGAACCCAATAAAACCGATTTCGTTAGGTACGCGAATTATTCGATTAAATTATCGTGCGTGGGGCAATTTACCCTCGGTAACGTATACAGGGCTTAAACGGACTAGTCAGTACTCGATAACTGTCATACAATGATTTTGATTGACCATCGTTTGACAAGAATGATTATTTATCGTCCGCATCAAACAATAACTAAAATGTATGGACTGTATATCTATAGCTTAGCAATGTATAGACATAGAAGTCACGTGTTTCACCTGTCCTAACTGTATTCGGACAAATGCAACAGCTGTCAAATGTAATTAGTACGTTCCAATTGAAATATCCTGTATACGTTCGTATACAGGATTCTAGCGTAGCAGAACGCACGTTATTACATACATTTATGCACGATAATAATAATAAAGATAAGATCATTGACACGCAGCTATTCGCGGATTACACGGAGTTAGGGTCAGACAGATAACGATTATATTTCAAGCTACATTTACGTAACTCATTTCCGATTAAGTTTGTGTTATGTGAGTCAGTCGGATCTGGCATTCGAGATGTGTGGCTAGTCGCTATTTTATTTACACTCGTTTATTTTCGTTGGAGAGACTATTAAACGGAATTAGACGCAACACTTCTCCTTATCGATAATGCTGTATTTACAGAGATGCACCTGAATAACATTTTTTTATGTTTCCAAAATAAATTAAGGAAGTATTGTTAATAGAGAGTCTTTCGAAAATTTCCATTGGTCTGCCCGATCGTTTTTGTTAAGGAAAATTCAAAAATTTGTTTTTTTTTCTTTTTGTTTTTGTGGTTCTAGAAAACGAAGCCACTGTGTGCGCATGCTCGGCTGATGCAGAATGTACTGGTCACGTGACCGGCCGTTCCCACAAGAAATGCCAATTCCGTAACGAGTGACGTAGGATATGGGGCCCAAAATTAATCATGACGTCATGGTGCGAATTAAGCCGACTGAAAAATGCGAAAGCGTCGACGACGGTGTGGAATTTTCTATTTAGAACGAACTGGATAATGCAGGATGTAAGTTATTTTTACGTATCCTTCCACGAAGAGAATGTCATCGAGAAAGGAAGGATCTTAATTTAATGATAAATTCGAAATAAAGAGCGTCTTCCTGATGCTCGGTGAAATATAGTGTGGGCTTAATGTATTTATCAGAGGACTCGCTCAATTTTTTACGAATGTCAAGGCTGCTGTCAGCAGTGAGGTATAAAAAGGAATTACATTAAAGTGCACAGTACTGTGAATGAATGCCCTGCATGCTACTTGTCTCTGCGTGCTCTTCCATTATGGACATAATGCCTGGCTTGATTTTAGATATAAACTTTGTTCAGTCACATGAAGTTTCTCTTATTGTCACTGTTATAAATAGCAAGCGAATTTGCTTTGCATTACACACGGTATAAGTGACGTGTGTAGTTATGAAAATCTATGTATAATCAATAGCTGTAGAAACTCGGAGAAACTCAACGCGATTGTTAAACAGCTCTATATTTCATTTGAAAGTTAATGGTAGGAATGCAGATTTTTTTGCTAATTGTTTTAATACATTTTTTTCATCCGCAAGGAAAAGTTATGCTGCAGAAATATATTTTACTTCACGTTCCATATTACTAAAATTTATTAATAGATGCATATTCAATATACTACAGTGTTGCTCTTTGATACAGACCAAGTAGAATGAACAATATAAATCTTCAGTTCTATAGGAAATCATTCAGCATCATTGATTACACTGAATTGTACGAGAAGGTTATAGTGAGCTTCTGGTTTAGACATGACAAGGTCACTGGAGAAATCAATAACTGAGATTTGAATAAAACTAATCTTTATGCGTGCACACTGACAGGATGAACTTAATATTCTAGGATCTCACTTTGGTTCGACGGTATACCGATGCTACTGGGATATCAGTAGAGTTTTCTGTTATGCTAATATTGGCACTTTGATAATCTATACTGGGTAAGATGCTTATTGCGATACTACATATCTCATTGGATAGAGAAGAGGCAACCGTGAATGTGAAGTGGATTTTGTTATTATTACTCTATGTCAATGATTCCTCCTTTAAAAATTCAATGTTTGCTTAAACGGAGCCATGAATCTGTATTTTCTTAGAAATTTCATAGGTACTATATCATGTAATTCATGAGGTTTATTATAGTTCTCTGCATGATACATTGTTAAATAACAATTTCATAATGGTAGTTGATTACAGGTTGTTTGACACTAACTGACAATTAAATAATACAAGTACCATCTTTAAATGGCCTATGAAGAAAAATGTTTATCAAACATAATGGACGCAAATTAAAATAAATAAAGTAATTAAACGAAGCAGCAAATGCTCTTATGATGAATTATTCATAAGAAAACCTAAGCATCTATCACACTCTTATAGAAATGTACAAATATTCTCTAATATTATATGATCCGAAGAAGTTAATCCTTTGACAAAGAAGACATGACGAAAGACACTTTTATCGTTAGAAATGTTTATTAAATCAAAGATGTGCATGCTACAGGCTATAAGCTGCTGACAAAAATAAAAATAAGTAGAGACCAAAGAGACATCAGACATTTCGAAGCATGGCAAGAGATTCTTCAACATTAACAAGGGTAAGAAACTAACCGCAAGACAGAAGTTGCCAAATGTGATCCAGTATTTTTTTCGATTAAACAAATACAGTTACCCTAAGAAAATATATGTGCTCTATACCTATCCAGCTGAAGAGGTTATGTGTCAACAGGGCGTAAGAATAAATTCGTGGCAAATCAGAGAACCACACCGGATAACATAAGCCGATCGAAGAAAAGTAGAGTTCCAAAGAATTAGCTAAGAGCACGAAGAAAAGAAACGAGAATTAACGAATAGAAGTGAGTAAACCAAGGGACATAAAATACAAGATAGAAGGGAGGAAAAAACAAAGCATCGATATTCACAGGCGCGACCCATGACGTACGAGCATTGGCATAACTCGTGTAAAATATCCATGCAAAGTATTATTACCTTAACGGCAAATTTCCAAGGGAGCACCGTGTACAATAAACACTCAAATAAATATCCGCGTCCGAAAGGAAACCATCAAGGCACGTTAACGGGGAGAGTAGAGTTTCCCTGGCGCTCGAACGCGGTGAAACATAACGAGAACTTCAGCCATCGATAGCGAGGCGGCGCCGAGTTAGCGCGAACGCACCTTAGAGACTTGGCGCAGTGGCGCCATCTCTGAGTCAGAACATCAACATCAATATGAAGCACAAAAAGTCTAGAGCAGAGATTCCGAGGAACGGAAAAGGCTTCTACTTTAATTTCCCGTAGTGCCGTTGCTCCGTCTCATTTTCAAACGATTTCCAGTTTCCTGTCGATTCTCAATCAGCCAAAGGAAACCGTAGAAGACCGAGGGAAACCAGTTTACAGATAAAATATCAGATATCATCTACCTTATTTTATCAGGTAAATCATTTTCATTCGCAATTTCCTGACCAATTTCAGACTGGCCTCAACGAGTACGATACTTAGACTGTACAAGCAACCATAGCAGCAGCAGCAGCAGCAGCAGCAGCATCACCACTGTTTACGTCATTTTTCATTCGTAATTCTATTTCGATCCAGGCACAGTCATCGCGTCGCGCTTCCGTTGCTAAGTCCTTATACGATAAGTCACGCCGATTTACGGTACACTACTATAACTGGTATCTGCCACTTTCCTCGGGATGAAGGCCAGGTCAATGCAAAAAGAGAAGAGAAACTCGACGAATATAAATAAAACTAACGAAAATGAGTGAAGATAAACATTGCGCTTCTACATTCACGTCCCATGTTCGTCATCGTCTTCACACAGAGACACGTGACAATCATGAATTAATCAATAACCACTGGTCCCGTCGGACAACAGTAGACATTCAAGAAACTGCAAACGAATCAAGGCTAAAACCGTGAACTTTAAATGAAAACAAAAATCGTACAAGGGTAGAATTAAAGGAAACGCACTAGTAAAAAATGTCATTTTTTATGTATTACCTTGCCCGTGATTCCGGCGTGAACGAATTCAGTGTCTAAAATCCAATTAGGGTAACACGTTAATTCTGTGTCACACAGTATTGAGGTATACATATAAAAAAAAAAGTAGAACAAAAATTCACACACAACACACAACTGTAACGCCGACACTAC